GTACATAGCTATGATTTAATTTTTAAAAGTATCTAATATATAAGTCATAAAAGCAAATGAAAGGAAGAAGATTTTTAAGTAAATTGTTGGTAAATAGAAATATATTGCTTTTCATACGTCAATATTAAAAATAGGTTTACGTGTTGATACCTGGTCCTGCTGATGTGGAGTAGCTGGACTATTAGGGCCAAAGAAATATTTTTTATTAAGGTACTTGTTTTTAATGTATATAGATTTTGCCTCCATTTGGTTTCGATTTGTGTAAATTAGTCTTCGGAACTGCTCAATGTCTATCCAGCACATAAGGTCCATGCTAAAATGGAAACAAAAAAATCTTATTTATTTCTCTAAATTCTTCTAAACACCAAACAGTTTATTGTTTTGACAGAATTTATGAAGTGGTTATCACAACTAGTTAGCACAACTGATTAGATCACAGAACTAATGAACACAATACCCTGTGATCCTTTTCTAAGCCAGTTGGGTTGACTTCTCTGTACTCCTTATCCTGCCTAGATACATGAATAACAAAGGAGTCCTGAGATCAGAAAATAATCTACCATCATTATTTGGTAGGGTTTCAGAGTTCTTCCACTAATGATGAACTAGTATCATCAATTTCAAATATGAGAAAATTTATACATATGCATACAGGTCCATCTGACAGTAGGCCAAATTTCAGATAATCTTCATCACAAGGAAGGGAAACTAACTATACAGTGAAATTTGGCTTCCACATCTAACCAGTTGCTGTTAACTTGGGAGAAAATTAATAAGAAAAATATATAACCAATACATCAGTTGATATTAGATAAATATAAGGGTCAGGATTCTGAGCGAAACTATAGTGTTTCATCTATATGTCAATTAAAAAATTTTAAATATAACAATAATTTCAATATCTTAGTGAAATGTAAAAGACACTTTTGAGAAATAGTAATTAAAATGCCTGTCCAGAGAAATGCAAAAGAAATAGCAGAAAAGAGAAAAAATAAAGCGCACTGGTATTTTAAGTTAGCCAATGCTAAAATTATCAACATATATTGTGTGACCACTTAAAATAATAACTTGGATGTTGCTACATCAAAATGCATTCTAATAAAAAGTAATCCATATAGCCACACGGGGTGGTTCACACCTGTAATTCCAGGAGGAATCAGGAAAGGATTGCTTGAGGCCAGATGTTCATGATCAGCCTGGGCAAAATAGTGAGACCCTATCTTTCTTTTATTAAAGAAAGTTATCCAGACAGTCAGATAATCATGCTCATAAGTACATCAGTGTAATCCAGCATGAAATCAATATTATAGTATGTTGAATCAAAACCAGTAGCTTAGAAAAAGGGTTTAAATCTGCTTAAAAACGGTTATATTTCTCACCTTGAAGAATGAGACTCAAGAAACTGACGGAAATGTTCAAACTCCAGTTTGTTGTTAAGCAGATCATTAAAATTAAAATGCTTATATTCTTCAGGAACATTATTCCAATATTCTGTTTGTTTAGAGACGTTAGAGAGTGATAAAGCACCAGTTCTAATCCCCACAGAGGTGTCCTAAGGAAATGATACTTCATATAAAAATCTCTTAAACACAACAAATTATTTATAATTTTAAATAGAGAAACGAAAGAAAAATGATCAGGCCAAAGCCATTTACTATATCTGATTTAATTTTTGAAAAATGAAGACAGGATTATGCACCTTCTATGTATGGTTTGGTAACCTGTTTCTTTTTCTTAACAATATATCCTGAACATAAACCATTCTTTTATAATATAATCTTAAAAAGTTATACAGTGATACAAGTTATTTATCTAACAGGGTATTTTCTCCAAATGTAATTTCTTTCATATGAACTTCAATTTTTAAGTACTATTATGAGCTCTGATGTTTTGTGAGTAATGCAAAAGCCCAAAAGGCCAAAGAGGCCATTCCTTATAGAATTAATCAATCTTCCTATTTGTTTTTGGAAAATGTCCAACCATGAGATAAACTGCCAATATTTTAAAAATTGATTTTACTTACAAAGAAAGGTTATAGTGTTATACATTTTAGTTCATGAAGATACAATCTTATCTTATACTACCTTTATAATTTTATGTATCTTTTCCAAGATATTAATTAGTAGTGTCTCAAATGGAGAACTTCTGTGTTAACAAGGCAACTATCATGAAAGTTACATTTTAAAAAATAAGCACCAGTTTTGCACTTTGCCATATAGAAAATAATTAATAATATTCAATATAATATGGCTTGAAGGGTCAAGCTTCTGGTCTTAGCTAAGGCAAACAAGTGACGTGGCTCCCTAGGCTCCCTAGGCTCCCTTACCCGCTTCCTTTCTCTGGCTCTGCTGTTAAACACGTCAATAAAAAAGTAACACCTGTGAAATGCAGCATGCTAGACTCAGTACATAATCTTCTCGAAATACAATCCTCCCTGCAATATATAAAGCCATCCCTCTCCAGGATAAAAACATTGTTTTCCTAAGTAGAAAGTTGTTTTACCTTAGCTTTCTCTTTATGCAAAGCCTGCAGCTTTCTGAAGGATGTGGAGTCCAGCTGTCGAGTTTCTTCCACTAGGTCTACCTTAAAAACATAAATAAATAAAGCTTGTAACATCGATAGATGTTACACAATAACAATAGATGTTGTACAATTTGCAAATAACAGTGGGCTAAAAGACAAACACACTTGCCGATAAAGCTAAATACTTTGAAGGCAAATGTGGGAAGGCAAGAAGACCAACATAGTCAAAAATGTTAGCTGTATTTTAGCTATAATATTAGCTGCAATGAAGTAAAAAATAAAATTAAAAGATTAGCTATAATAAAGATCACTCCTCCTATCTAAACACACCAGGTAGATTTATAAATAATGCAAATATGTTGATCACAAACTAGTACAGCCTTTATGGAAAGAAGTATGGAGATTCCCCAAAGAACTAAAAGTAGAGCTTCCATTTGATCCTTCAATCCTGTTACTAAGGATGTGCCCCAAAGAAAAAAAAGTTATTTTATCTTAGGGACATTTGCACTCAAATGTTTATAGCTTCTCAATTCATAATTGCCAAGATGTGGCAACAACCCAAGTGCCCTAAAACCCACGAATGGAGTAATAAACTATGGTATATGTATACTGTGGAATACTGTTCAGCCATAAAAAAGATGGAGATGCTGTATCTTCTGTAACAACTTGGAAGGATCTGGAGAACCTTCTCCTAAGCAAAGTATCATAAGAATGGAAAAACAAGCATCCCATGTACTCAATACTATTGAAACTAGTAGATTAACACAGGCCTACATGAGAGAAAAACGTAATTAAATTCAAGAAAGGGGGTGGGCTTTGGTAAGTGTCCATGGATAGGTACAATGCACAGTATATGGCACACTTCCTGGGTGAAGGACACAATTTCAACTTGGACTTTACCTTACCAACACAAACAATGTAATCTAATTGTATGTTCCCTCATATTAATCTATATTAATCTGAAATTTTAAACAAACTTTCTGGTTTAGGGAAGTTAGTTATAATTCCAATTTTTTTTTTTTTTTTTTTTTTTTTTTTTGGCCAGGACCTCTATGCCAGATACTATGTCTCAAATAATGACTGGAGATAACTTTTTAACATTTCATATGATGTACTAATTTTCCTAGTGTAATAGTTAAGGATGCTGTGCTAATTTTCAAGACAAAGAAAATCAGGAATGAAAATTTAATTATCTGGGTCATTGAATTTAGTAAGCCATCAGAGTTGTTTCAATCACAGCCCAGTAAAGTAACTCCCTCCAAGGTGATGGGGCATGAATTCTACCTTCATCACCCGACCCATCCTTCCCAGTAGGAGACATGAGTATCTAACAGGTTGCTGAGCAGAGATGAACAAAGCAGAGCAACTCAAAGACAACAGAGCTGCAGCGGAAATGACCTCACAGGGTACACGCTTTAACATAAAACAGATCCGCGCAGAGTTTTCATTTGAGATTCAAAATAAATATTGAAAGAAATTTCCTCTACCCATCAACAAGAAGAGTGAAAATATTCAAGCGCTGAGGCTTAAAATGACTTCTTTCAGAATGAAAAAAGAAGTGTTGAAACTTTTATCCCGTCAAGCGATCTGACCTGATGCACATCTGGGAGTGCTAAAAATAGAAGCACTGAAATCAGAGGATCTGCTTTTCACAGCATATAGGAAGCGTTTATATTTTCCATGGGTGTAATACATATTGTAACTCATCCAGCGCTACACGACATGGCCTTTTTCCATTAGTCAAAATTAAGGCTACTGCTGGGAAACGGGAGGAGGGGACAAAGCCAGTGTTCACCACGGCGTGCTGTGTTAGTGCATCGGAGACCGAAACTCAAGATTTCTCTCTTCTGACATATGTGGACAGAGAACAAAAAATGATGAAGATTTAAGGCTTTAATTAGGAGACAATAGGAAACTCAGCAAAAAATAAAGTGAATAAACACTTTCCCTGCTGAAATGCTGAGGCCAACTATTAACTGTAAATCTCCAGCCCACACGAGACTTTTTTCAGTTCTTCTCGGGTGAACGAATAACTCTGTTTATTGTCAGTTTCATAATAAACCGGAATGATTCGTACACAATTTATCAGTGCTACAATACCTTTCTTTCTTCTTTTTTTTTCTTTGAATCCTTTACATCAAAACACAATACCTTTTTATAAGTAAGTTGGTCTGATTTTATCATCTTCATCCAGGGCTCAAGGAGGAGGAGAAGGATATATTCTTCTGCTGTGTCAAAAAGGTCTTCAAATGGTGGGTGTATCTTCATATAAATGTCTTTTTTCTTTTCCTGTCGGAGTCCAATGTCCAGAGTGGCTGAAGGAGCAATGTATGTAGCAAAAAGATACTATGGGGAAAAGAGGGAGGAACGGAGGGGAGGTTGGGAGAAACCATAGTGGTTAGCAGCCTCCTCAGCAAAGGCATTTTTTAAAAACTAAGAGAAGACAAATAAGCCCAAGTGATATTTCTCTTGAAAACATGGATAAAACTACTTAAGATAGTTACAAAGCAATGCATCTATTCAAAACTTGGTTTCTCATTTTACTTTTCTATTTCTTCATCAGTAATTAGCGAATTTTTCTTAAATTACAAAATTCTGAGGCCCTACTATGCATAATTGTGATTGATTTGCAGTTAATAACTCATAACTTATCCATTTTCCTTTATGGTTATGACACTTCTAACACGTTTGACTTGCTTTCCTCTGACTTCCCCAACACTTTCTCTTGAGTCCCTGCCTATTTTCATGCCTTCTCAGGCTCCTTTGCTGACTCCTTTTCCTGTGCCCTTCCCTTGTAAGGATTCATCCGAGGTCCATGCTCCACTCTATTTTCTTCTCAACTTGCATTCCTCCATGTCTCACACAGGCCGAGCAGTCTCTCGTGACTTTTGTACTATTCCCTCCCTCTAAGCCATCTGTCTTTATTCTCTTTTCCCAGTTCACGGAGCTTCTATTCTTTCTATAGGACTCAGCTTCCTTGACTCCTAAGTTTGGGGTTTAGGCATCCTTCCTGTGTGCCCCCAGGGACCCTGTACTTCTATGTTTTTCCCACTGGACCACAAGTTCTAGGAAGACAGAGATTGTCTTCAAACATCTACTTTGTTTATTGCTGGATCCCCACCATCTAGCATAACGCTAAATTTAGAATGAATGGACGAATGGGTGAATGAAAGACTTCATCCATTCCCAAAGATGTAACAGTAAATGAATGTGGGAGAAACCTATATATATGGCATTATATACACATATACACACTGTCTATGTACACACACACACATACATACACACGGCATATATACATGGCATTATATACACATATATACAGCTGTCTACATATACACACACACACATACATACACACGTACATACATACACATGCATACACATAGAACTTCAGACTTGATCTCTTTCCTGAACTCAAAACCTTTTGCTTCTATCCACCTCCTTGTTATAGGTATTTGAACGTCCTATATGCCCTCAGTGACTGAAGAACAACAACAAATTTGCTTTTCCTAACCTCTCAAGCCTTTCCCTTCCTCCCATGTTTCCAGTTTTTATTAATAACATGCCATTAATGTCCCAGTCCTTGCAGTCTTCCCCACCTCTCCTTCATCATCCTCAAATGCAAATCCCGTGAATTTAATCTCTTCAGTGAAACAAAAGGAAAGTGACAAGAGCAAATGTAAAAATACGAGGAGGAAATAAACAGCAGCCCATTTCCAACCCACCAAGAAACATGGCACAACTCAGTTTCTGACCAACTCAGGCCACACCTTTCCCAGGCTGCTACCTACTGCCTTCTGTCCTGACTCCATGTTCTTATTCTGCTCTAGACAGCCCCAGGGGTCCACCGACATTTCTTAGCTGCATAATCTACAGTCTTAAGGAGCTATACTCTGGGAGAGTCACATGTCCCTATTCTGATCTAAGCCCACTGTCTTAGTGTAATTACTGATACTTCAATTTTCATTCTCAAAAGTATTCATTTAGGTTTAGATGATAAATTAAATGGTTTCCCCATATTTAATTGTCATAAGATAAAATCCTGGGGTTTCTCTAAAATAAAAACTCTTAGAAATGCTCCACACACATTTAAAGCTGAAAATAAAGGAAAGAAAGGGAAATGACGTTCCCGGCAAAGAAACAGACATTTGTCTAATTTTCAGTCTTATGAATTGAATATCTGTTCTCAGATGCCAAAATCTCAAACCAGAAATATTTAACTTAGAACTTAGGTTGAAACTTCACAGACTTCCCTACTAAAGATAAATACACTAAATGATTACACCTAATATAGGTATTCATTTGCCCTTCTACTTTTTTTTTACTTCCTTACTGCTAATTTATCAGAATATTGTTCATTATCACCTAAGTAATTTCTTTTTGTTCAAGTATCAACCCTCAATACGATAACCAGCATAATCCTTAAGAGTAGTATACTCCTCCCATCTCCCTGATTCTTTATCAGTCTTATAAAAAAAATCACAGAACTGGAAGCTGTAGAAAAGGGCTTCAGCCGTCATCCAGCCCATGGCATCCCGAGATTACATCATACACGTTTATTATTTTTTGTCTCTGCTCTTCCTCACCTCCCCAAGGCAGTAGTAACAAAGATTGTTCAGGGAGTAAGAATGAGAAAACTGAACTTAGTTGTCAATCCTTTATCAGGTCATACGGTAAGTTTACAGCACATTCGAACTGAATTATGGCATTAAAATCTGAATATGTCTTTCTAACAATCCAGGGCAATCTATAAATGGATAGCTAACAACTGACTATATATAGCAAACCCAAGAGATGCAATCATACATACATAGAACAAAATTAAAAAGCTAAACAACGCATTTACCATCTTTACAAAGTTGATGAAAATCATTTTTAAGTTCATGTAAATTGACTTTATTTTATTTTATTTTTTGAGACAGAGTCCCACTTTGTTGCCCCCAGTAGAGTGCTATGGCAAAATAGCTCACAGCAACCTCAGACTCTTGGGCTCAAGTGATTGATTCTCTTGCCACAGGCTCTTGAGTACCTAGGACTATAGGTGCTGGTCACAATTCCAGGCTATTTTTAGAGACAGGGGTCTCACTCTAGCTCAGGCTGGTTTCCAACTCACAGCTTAGACAATCCATGGGCCTCGGCCTCCCAGAGTGCTGGGATTACAGGCGTAAGCCACCATGCCCAGCCTGTAAATTGACTTTAAGATGATTATAAAGATTGCACTATATGATACCTAAATACTATAGTCTAATTATGAGTTAGAAACATTGATGAAATATTCTGGGTCATTTGCCTTTTTATTGGCCACCCACCTCTTCCTTTCTAGCCACAGAGTAAATAACAATGTAGCTCGCGTTGGAGAAAAAAATATTCCTTTCATATTCCAGTTAGCTACTCTGATCCACATTCAAGCAGAAATTCATTCACACACAGCTGTGGCCGACATGATTCCAATTTAAACATTAACCTATGATGCTTTAACAACCCAGCAGGAAAGTTTTTAAAAAGGAATACAAGCACTGCCTGTCTGTGATCAGACTGCTTGGCACTGCACACAACACAGCTCTGAACCCCATCTCTCCTGGAGACGCTCAAAGGTTATGTAATCAGGAAATGCACCAAGGGCAGCCTGCCCTGCACCTCTCTACACCTGTGCCTGTGACTCATTTTCTTGGCATCTGTATCAAACAAGGAGGAAAGAGAGGGAAGAAAAAAAAAGGAATGCCTGTCCCTAAAAATATCTTTTACAGTTCTAAAATTCTGGGAGTTAATTTTCTTATTTAACTAAACTCTCAAGAACGAGAGTTAACAAGACCAGCAGGGAAAAAGAAGTAGGATGGATACCTTGGAGACAGGAGGAAGAGTTCAATCAGAGAGCAGAAAAAAGAATGGAGAAAAAAAATGAGAGAAATTAAGACAAAAAAAAAGGAAGGAAAAAACAATACTTTGCTTTTGAAAGGATGTTAAAATGAAGAACAACATTTAAATTATTTTAGTGCATATTAGTTTGTTGGATTATTGGGGAGAAATGAACAAAACTATTTCTATGTTTGCCTCTTCAAGGAAACATCAGCTGCTTCATTAATTAGAGACAATATCACGCGCAGAATTTAAACTGTTACTAATCCTATGATATTTTTCATGCAATATTTAAGCATTACTGCATAATAGTTTCCAAAATGTTTTGAAAGTGTTATGAGCATATTCTTGGATACAAGTGGGTCTCAATCTCCTTTTAGATGTACCCCAATACATTCTAGTCTTATTTTTCCCCCACATTAATGTTCTTATCGTATCATAAAGCCTAAACACATCTAAGAAATGACAATTACAGGCTTATTGAACTTTTAAAATCAATGTCTAAAGGAAAAAATAATGAAATATTTTCTACAACTGTTTGCGCTCCTTAGATTTCTCTTCGTACCACAGACCAAATGATGACAGCTCTGGGATTAGACTCCAATTATCATGCTGTAGAAGCACCTAGCAAAGCATTCTGCTGTGCCAAAGGGGAGCACAATCTTTGGGACGCCATCTTTTCCATGAGTAGGGGCTATTTGATGAGCTACAGCTTGACACTCATCTGTGTTCCAATGAAAACAAGAACAATCTCTCTGTAGCCTTATAAGGCAAAGTCAAGAATAATACCAAATGTTGTAGCACATGTGTTGATTTGTTATGTTACATTTCAGCTGTTAGTTATGTTAATGGAACGGTTTCACATACTTTGTTTTGATGTATTTATTTTAATGATTATGTGTATGAATCTTTCTATGATTGCCTGGTAACACGGATTGCATGATGTTCTGCTGTCACCACCAGGCCAGGATTGGAAGTAAGAAAGGGAACTGTAAAACTTTGGAACTGTGTGATTTAAAATCAGTCTCTCAATTTTGGGGGGTAAAAACAAATAAATAAATAAAATGAGTCTCTCAGGAGGGACTCTACCTAACAAATGCAAACATTGTAAACTAATTCTTTTGTGCTCTCAAATTAAGCTGAAACAATAATAAAAACAATAATAAAAAATACAATGAGTTTCGCAGTACGCTAAGGATAAAATGTGTTAAGAACTACATGTCATGAGATCTTAATACTAACTTACAGAACATCTTGCAGAGCATATCACCAGGTTAACTGAAGTGAGTGAAATTTGAAAAGTAGTTTTACAACATAGCTTATTAAAGTGCTCCACAGATTAAGAGAAAACATTCATGCTTCCGTGTTTGCAGTCACTAACAAGTCCATTTTTCCTAGACTCATTACTTGACTACAAAAGTAAAAGAAATAATTCTAACCATGTAACTAGGAAGGGTAGCATTTTATTACATATATTTCACATTCTT